AAGCCCACCCCCCAGCCTTTCAGCAACACTGCTTCTCCCAATTTCAGTGAGCTTGAGGAGTAGTTGGGGAGAGAAAATAAGGACTCAAAGAACCAGTAATGTGTATAAAACAACCCTTTAGTGATTATGCAAATAAGTATGCATATGATTATATGGATTAGAGGCTGCTAAACTTTTGTTTTATGAGCTATACATTCCCCCACACTACCACACAACTCTGCCCTGAGGCTTAAAACTAGCCACAAACAACAAATCCTGACAGACCATGGCTGTGTAGCGATAAAACTTTATTTATAAAAACGGTGGGCCAGATGGAGTCTGCAAGCTATAGTTTGCTGACCCTTTAAGTAGATAGTACATGCTGTAGATTTTATAAAGCAGATAAATTTAGGCTACAATGGAGAGAGCTTTGAGAGAACTGAGATCAGCTGTGAAGGACAATGGGAGATGAGCTTACAAGATGCTATGTGACCTCGTCCCTTGTATCTCCTCCTGTCACTTCCCTCTTTCTTAGTGCTCTCTGGTGGGGCTGACGTTTTCATTGTTAGACTTTGGTTACTCCAAGTTCATTCTTATTCTAGAGACTTTGCACTAGCTGAGCCTTCTGCCTAGAAGCTCTGCTCCCAGATCTTCCCAAGGCTGGCTCCTTTGGTCATCAGATCTCCTCTCCCATGTCACCTCTTCAGGTCAGCTTCTCTGAAGAGCAAGTTAAAGCATGCATTGCCCCATGCATCGCCCCATCTTATCTTCCTCATAGCGTTTACACTTTCTGAAATTATCCAGTTCATTTATTGCTGTGCTCGTCCATTACCTACCTCTTCCAGCTCTCCTAGAATGTAAGTTCCGCTGAATGGAATCAACATGTGCATTGTTCACTGTGGCAAGTAAGCGACCAAAAACACTTGACAGAAGTAAAGGAATAAGGGAGGAAGGCAGGAAGGCAGACTTTAGCAGAGTAAGAATGTATTTCCTCTGTTCTGTGATGGAATACTGTATTCAAATGACCCACCATTCAGGGCCATGATGCTATTTCAATGAAGAAAGCATCTTCATCCTGGAATTAGAGGATGTTAGCCCTGCATCATGGTCATTTCTTGGTCAGGGGCAGTCTTAGGACTTCGGAATGATGCCACATAATTTCAGTTATGGAATGGCTGTACCTGAAATAGAGAATGCTCACTACTCCTTATTTTATCAAAAATAAAGCTCTTTATTTCAGTGTTAGCACTTAAACACTAAAATGTAAATACGCCCCCCTTTTTTTCCTAATCTATAGCTATTGTAAAATTTAACCTGTAATGTTTATTTATTGTTTATCAAGCCCAACTACCTCCTAGAACTGATTTTCTAGAACTGATTTCTACCTCCTAAGATGGTTCCAGCAAACAGGATATCCCTCTAGCCTGATACCAGCAAGCTCCTGGTCCATTTTCTCTTTCAGCTTCCCTTTCTTATCAAGACGTCAGTCCCCTAAACACCATCACAGGTAACAATGATGCCTTTCACAGGCAGCTGCAAAGGCGACCTTCTCTTTAGATTTCTCTGTGCTGCTTAAGTGGAAAGTCACAGCAACCTCTGACTCTATCACAGCAGCTGCAGCCACGGAATGACCTTTCTCGACCATCCAAAGAGGGAAGCATTTTAAACTTTGAGCCCCTTACAAAATGGTACATTGTCTTCTAAAACTGGGTACCTAAGCAATGTCTGTCTCTTGCTTTGGAGGTTGATTAAAAATAAAAACCAGCTCCTTTATAGCAATTTTACAAATCCTTATGGATTAGCAAGTGTTTCTCTTCTCCAAGATCTGGATTTTCTGTGTCATTTCCATTTTTCCTAGAACTGATTTCTGTATTATTTTTTACTTGTTGTTAGGGAGGTGAATAATATACGAGTATTTGTATTCTACTCTGATGGAAGTAGCTTTTGTACTTAGCTGCTGTCATTTGAAATAAATGTTTAATTGAGAGGTATACAGATTAAGTGATTCTCAACTGGTTCCCTTAGCAACAATTACAGACTGTTTCTAGTAAACCCCCCCCGAAAGTTTCTACCATAAACCAACTTTGAAAAGCACCTAAATAGAAATTTGCCATGTTTTTCTTCTATAAGCAATATTAGTAATCAGTGTGTCATCAGTCTCTGAGAGCAATGCTTGTGAACTTTGCATTGGTACTGAGGAATGACAGGGACTGGCTGCCTTATCTAATGACCCAAGCTGTACCAAGTTGATTTTTTAAATGGAATTGCTTAGTCAATAATTAGGTTCTGAACATGATCGTATCTGTGCAATGAGTCACTCGTCAATTGAAGGAAAACAAGACTGTTCTCAACATTTAAAATTTCCTAAAAACAACCTTGTTGCTGTGGTGATTTTGATGCTTTTTAGCTGAAAAGTAAAAACTCTACATTGCTACTAACATAAGTAATAAATGGCAACTGCATCAAATAATAATGGATCATGTAGTCAAGAACTTGGAACTGTTCAGTTCTGTGGGCACCACAAACCACAGTCTAGAAGGAGAGGCTGCATCAAATACCAGTCAATGGCAGGACCCCAGGAGCTGCAGCACTGAAACTGTCCCTTCAGAGCTGTAATTTGGGGCAGGTTCCATAACCTTGGATTCCTTACTTGCAGAATGAGCTGGGCACAGTGGCGCATACCTGTGATCCCAGTGGCTCCGGAGGCTGAGGCAGGAGGATCAAGAGTTCAAAGCCAGCCTCAGCGAGAGTGAGACACTAAGAAACTCAGTGAGACCCTGTCTCTAATACAAATACAAAATAGGGCTGGGGATGTGGCTCAGTGGTCAAGTGCCTCTGAGTTCAATTCCTGGTACCAAAATCATCATCATCATCATCATCATCATCATCATCATCATCACCTTATCCCTCAGGTGCATGGATCAAGTGAGTTCATATAAAACATTTCAAACAATGTCTGTAAACAGGAAGCACAACATAATAATTTGTTAAATAAACACATTGCACAGCCAAGTTTCAACTCTGTTAAGTACCTGTCAGAGTAAGAACTACAAACTGCTGTTTCCAAGTTTGTGAGTTGTTCCGTGTATTCAATCTGGTGCCTCTTGATACAAAATTCCAAATTATAGAGCTATATTGATAATTTAAGGAGAAAATAATAGTGCTTTTCCTTTAGTGGCCCATCTATTCTCACCCCAGAGACTCTGTCATATTTAGAAATATGTCATATGTATTTGCCGTTGTGGACACTTTTTCTTAACCTCTTAGATTTCAGATTCACTTCTTAATCATAAAACTTATTAGATTCTGATTTGTGGAAATTAAACCAAAAGACATTGAATCCCAGTGCTTCTGTTGACCAGCTGTGTGTCATTGGGCAAGTTACTTCAGCTTTCTGAACTCCTGCTTTTCATCTGAGAAATACAGAAAAAATGCACAGGATGTTGTATCAATGAAAGAAATTCCTGTAAACAAATTTCTTAGCATAGTTAAATGTTACCATGAAACACTGTGTCTTTTTAGTGGGTAACCAGTAAATAGCATCAAAATAGTAAGTGCCATTTTACCTTCTCATTGTCCACCTGGCCAGTTGGCAAACTTGGGTACTCCTTCCCCCCAGCACCATGGCTAACTCCTGTTTCGAATGTCTCTTTGATACATATTCCATTTGTGGCAATGTATCTTCAACTTGCTAACATGTTGATTTGGAACTTTTCCCAAATTTACGTATACTTTTTCTTCCCATCTCTGTTATAAACCTGTTGAGGGTTGAACCAGCCTGCTCCCTCTTCTGTTCTCTTTTGAGTTTCATGTGTGTTCCCTGTGTTGTAATTTATCACCATTTGATGGATGAGAAGTATCACCATGCATTTCTTTCATCAAATGGAGAATGAATGAGATTCAACGGGAACTAGGTTAAGTTCACATTGAGATGGAAAATGTAAGAGGAATTAAAAAGACTATCATAAAGAAGTCTTCTAAAATGTAGTATAATGCCATGTTCAACTTGAAAGAAATGATTGTAGAAAGAAGACACAGTGTGTTACCCTGAGAGCACTCTCTTGGGTTGTCTCCACAATTATGGACTTAGAGCAGGATCCAACAAAGCAAGAGGAAAAGAATGATTCAGATAAGTAGTAACAATCCCAGGTAAGCAGAGCAATCAAATTCCAACAGAACAAATGTCCTCAAGTGTGGTGTGTGTGCACACTAATATGCCATTAGTTTTCACAAGAATTTCATTAGAAACCTTCGAAGAGTGCTTTTCTCAGATCTATAAAGGCTGAATCTGAACTGAAGAGGAGTTCAGAAAGAAGAGATGGTTAGAAAGTAAATGCAGTTGGTATAGACAACTAGTTAGGAAGAAGAGAGACAGGATATGAGATGGTAAAGATGGAAGGTTCAGGGAAGGCATAGATAAATCAGAAAACATTCTTGAACCTTAAATGACAATTGAAAACAAGTCATTGAAAAGCTCAAATAAAACTGCTTTTCTGCCAGGTGTGGTGGTGAACGCCTGAAATCCCAGCAGTTCAAGAGGCCGAGGAAGGGGATCATGAGTTCAAAGCCAGCCTCAGCAAATGAGAGGCACTAAGCAACTCAGTGAGATCCTATCTCTAAATAAAATACAAAAAAGGGCTGGGTATGTGGCTCAGTGATTAAGTGCCCCTGAGTTCAATCCCCAGTACCAAAAATAAAAAATAAAAAAATAAATCTGCTTTCCTTTCTAATTGCTTAGACTCAGCTATTATCTTTGAGAAGTGTAAATGAATCAGAGCCAGTGTTTTAACTTTTCCTAATGCCCAGGAACTTTTTTTTAAAGATTATGACATGGATGTGCCTGCCTTCCAAATACTGTCAAATCTATCATAGTAAAACACTGTTAGTGAAAGGTTATTATCTAACGTTTTAGATATTTATCTCTATTACCTATATCTGGGGTCATATGAAAAGCAGGAAAGAAAACCAAAACAAAAAAATGGATTTTAAAATAGTGAATTATGTGTTTTGTATCTGACTAGGTTCCTCAAGATGAATGGACGGGGTACACCCCTCGAGGCAGGGACGATGAAATTCCATGCCGAAGAATGCGAAGTGGCAGCTACATCAAGGCCATGGGGGATGAAGACAGTGGGGACTCAGACACAAGTCCCAAGCCTTCTCCCAAAGTGGCTGCGCGAAGAGAAAGCTATCTCAAGGCGACCCAGCCATCCCTCACAGAACTCACCACCCTCAAGTAAGTAGTCCAAACACAGGGCTTTTGATAGTGCTTTGCATTACCACCTCAGATCAGATCCTATGTCTCCAAGAGTAAGTGGGGCAGTAAAAAACTCTGCGGATGGAGTGCTGTAATATAGGAAGTGGTCTGTTGATTTTGACATGGGATGTGACTCCTATGCCCCAGTGTCTTCAAAGACAGGCACTCCCAGCTACAATCTCAGTTGATCATAGCTGAACCCCTCACCCTCAAGAGGGGTTCCAAACAACCTAGAATGCTTTCTGGAAAAATTAAGATTTCTGACCAAAGAGAGGATCCATTAGGCGTTTGTTCAGCCACAAAATATTGCAGGGGAATGCTTCCTTAAAAGACTTGAATATTTTAGATAACTGAGTAATAGAGACTGTTGTCTTAGAGAAGTGTGTTGAGTCGTTTGTCAAAGTTTATGTATTCATTCTTGAAAATTAGATGAGATGTATTAGGTGAGATGACAATTAAGTGTTTCTGGATATTTATGGTTAAATTTGGCAGCTCTATACATATTAAAATCATAAGACCTTAAAAGTAGTTTTTGTTTTTAAAAAAATATGATCTATACATATTATAATTTATAATTTAAAGAATAAGTATTCTTTACCTTCATTTGTGCTATTTGTAAACAGAGAACAGCATTACAAAAGAAACTATGGAAATTATTTCACACAAGACCTGACTTAAATTTTAATGTTATTTATAGAGAGTAAGTCAGAGCCTTGGATCTAGAGATATAATTCCATTTGGACCCAAAAAATATATTACAGATAATTAGTACTTCTGAAGTGCCTTTGATTCCATATTTTGATGAAATACATGTTACTACTCATTCATTTACATTATGTTACAAAATGAAAAATTAAAATATACAATAAATAAAACAGAAAAAGCCAAAGAAATTGGGTTAAGGAAAACAAATCAGATTGTTAATCAAGAGCATTGAAAAACAGTGGACAAACCAATCAAATACAAACTAATGGATGAGTGAAAGGAAATCTAGTAGAGGAAAAAGAAAGGGGAGGGAGATCATGAACTGAAATCAATTTCTATGCATGTATGAATTTGTCAGAAGTGAACCCACTACTACGTATAACCATAAAGCTCTAATAAAAGAAAAACAGTGAACAAGTCTATGAGCAAAAAATGTATTTAAATAGCAAAATATATCATACTTAAAATAACTGGAGTTCCTTGATGGATTTTCGTCCAAGGGGCCATATGGAATCACTCCAGATTATTTTAATTAAAAATTAATGTCAATACATTAGTAAACCAACCCACAAAAAGCTCTTCTTTCTTTCCTTCCGATTCTAGTTGTCTTTCCTTTGTGCCTTTATGCATTAGTTTCCTAGGACTATCATAGAAAGGCACCAAAACTGGGGAGCTTAAACCATAGAAGCCTATTGTTTCACAGTTCAAGCAGCTGGAAGTCTGGTTCAGGGTGTCAGCAGGGCCAGGCTCCCCTGAAACCTGTGCAGCACAGTCCTTCACTGTTTCTTCCTGGATTCTGGTGGATAGCAGGCAAAGCTCAGTTAATCCTTGGCTGAAAGCTGCCACCTTTTAGACTCTGTCCTGTTGTCGCGTGGCACTCTGCCTTCTGTGTCTTCACATGGCAGTCTTCTTATGACTTCATCAAAACTTGATTACATCTGCAAAGGTCCTATTTCCAAATACTATAGTGCAAGTCACATTTACAGACACTTGGGGGTCATAATTCAATGTACACCATGGGCATACAAGGTAAATTGATTATGGAATTAAAAAAATTAAAACAAATCTTCACTGCACTGTGACACACCTAGCAGAAAATTAAATATACTCAGTCTGAGAACAACTGGTATTGTTTAAAAACAAAAGTCAGTGTGCCAAGGCAGTATGAAATAAGGGTATCCAAAGACCCTTCTGACAAATATCTTCTATGAACTTTAAAATAGCTCTCAATAGGAGAATAAAAAAACAAAACAAAAAAGGTAGACACAGCCATGGTGTTAGTTGACATCTTTTAGAAGATGCAAATGAGAAAATAAGATGAACAGAAAATCATTTAGACCTTTAAAGTCTCAGTTTCCTCTTATGAAACTACATCTGCAGCCTCCAGAGGCCCTGCCACCTCCTGAGGGTCCTGTTATGTTAGCGTGGAGAAGCACGGGGCATGTTAGCTGAATGACACCTAGGGGTCTGGGTGATGAGGTAGATGGCGGCTGCTCACAGCAATACACAGGTCTGAGGAGAACCAAAAGGAGCAGAGCTATGAGAAAGATGAAGGAGAATGCTCTGAGGAAGGCTGAGGACAGATGCCAAAATCATCATTCACCACAGTGTCTTGGGGTTCCTCTCCTCATAGCTTTGGGGGTGTGAAGAACCCACTCTGAAGCCCTTAGAACTCTTCCTTTTTCATTCACCTCCTGTGCAATATCATCTTCCTCTAATGTCCTAGATCATATTTTTACAACCATCCTATATTTCTTTTACTCCCAAGGTTTTTTTTAATTTTTTATTGTTGGTTGCTCAAAACATTACATAGTTCTTGATATATCATATTTCACACTTTGATTCAAGTGGGTTATGAACTCCCATTTTTACCCCGTATACAGATTGCAGAATCACATCAGTTACACATCCATTGATTTACATATTGCCATACTAGTGTCTGTTGTATTCTGCTGCCTTTCCTATCCTCTACTATCCCCCCTCCCCTCCCCTCCCCTCCCCTCTTCTCTCTCTACCCCCTCTACTGTCATTCATTTCTCCCCCTTGTATTATTTTCCCCTTTCCCCTCACTTCCTCTTGTATGTAATTTTGTATAACCCTGAGGGTCTCCTTCCATTTCCATGCAATTTCCCTTCTCTCTCCCTTTCCCTCCCACCTCTCATCCCAGTTTAATGTTAATCTTCTTCTCATGCTCTTCGTCCCTACTCTGTTCTTAGTTACTCTCCTTATATCAAAGAAGACATTTGGCATTTGTTTTTTAGGGATTGGCTAGCTTCACTTAGCATAATCTGCTCTAATGCCATCCATTTCCCTGCAAATTCTATGATTTTGTCATTTTTTAATGCAGAGTAATACTCCATTGTGTATAAATGCCACATTTTTTTTATCCATTCGTCTAGCGAGGATGTGGGGAAAAGGGTACACTTGTACATTGCTGGTGGGACTGCAAATTGGTGCAGCCAATTTGGAAAGCAGTATGGAGATTTCTTGGAAAGCTGGGAATGGAACCACCATTTGACCCAGCTATTCCCCTTCTCGGTCTATTCCCTAAAGACCTAAAAAGAGCATGCTACAGGGACACTGCTACATCAATGTTCATAGCAGCACAATTTACTCCCAAGGTTTTAAGAGCAGAAAGAGGCAAACACACAGACAGTGGATAGACTGAGAGATGAGAGGATCAGCTACTTCAGAGAGTAAAATCGTGGAACTGAATATGAGTTAGTAACTGCCAACATACAGAAATTCAAAATGGAACCAGTTTACTAAGAACACCTTGTAAATTGAAAAACATTTTTCTTTGCTTAGAATGGCGTTTCATCAAACCATTTCTATTGTCCTCTTTCAATAGCAAGCAGGAGAACACCTGACCACCAGTCATACACGTGTTCCTTCTCTCTAACCACCCCACTCCTGGAATTATTTCTCTTAGTTCCAGTTATCTCCATTCACTTTTCCCTCACCTGTCTTTTGAGTTACATTTATCATACAGTATACATATTAAGCTTCCATAATACTCAACCACATAATGGTTATTAATGATTTCTAGTTTAAAGATATTTAAGAAGATACTCAAGGAGAAAGATGGCAAAAAAAATCAGACATGACATGACTCAGTTCTGTCTTTTATTCCTTGATGATGTTTTGACTGGAGATCATTATTTTTCTAGAAGCTTGAAGCATTTGGTCCCTCATGAGAAAAAAAAAAGATACCCATATCCTAGAATTCTAGTTCCCCCATAAAAGAAAACTATATTTATGTTCCTACTTCTTTGACATTTAAGTCAATTTTTTTCCTCCTTCCTCCTCAGCAATTCACAGCTTTAGGGATGAATCATAGCCATGAACCAAGACAACTAAAATTAGTCAAGTGAGATTGGGACAACATTTCATTTGAGATTTTTCAACTCCCATCTTCTCTCAGAAATTTCAGAGAGAAAGCACTCCTACACTTTTTACATTGTTTTTTCTTTATTCTTTCCCCCTTTCTCTTTTCCAATTGCGTCTTGGGGGTTTATCCATGGGGGTTGGTTTTCATCAACTACTTAATGGTGGTGATTGGATCATCTGTGGAACATTCTGGAGTTAGGAATAGACTTAACACAGCAAAGTCCATCTTTGGCCTGCTGAAGTCCTCAACTACTAGTCTCCAAAAATTGTTTCTTTCATTCTTTTCTCATATTCCATAACTGTTAACAATTCCTTCCACCTCATCACTAGCTTTTCCTTCTTCTGGGCTTAACTACTGATGAATCCAAAGTGGCACATCACCCCAGAATATTAATATTTTCATGAGGAGCTTCTGAATATTTAATAGTCATTTTTCAGACAAGAAAAGATTTGGAGACCAAAGTTTCCTCAAAGCATATCACCACAGCTTGAAGAACTTAAGTCTTTTACTTGGATTTTCTGTAATATGCAATTTATTCTGGAACGGAGACTACCTCCTGCTACCATGATTAGTTAAAACCAAGTTCAAATCCCATCTTGGATTTTCATTCCATATACTACTGTAAAAGGAATTTTTCAAAAATGATATTAAATGGGCTGTCATTTAAAAGTCCTTAAGTTAAATTCAAATAACCACCAACCTGAAACAAATAGCACTTTTAAATTTCTCCTTACTTGTTTATCTCTTCATCCAAGCACTAAAAAATTTTCTTTTTCCCTGGGAGAAATAATCAGCCTTTGCTATTAGAGACTTTGAAACTCCTCTGAAATTGGCAAAAAGGGCCCCAGGCTTTTGTGAGAGGGCCAGTCAGAGCTCCCAGGAA